CTCATGTGGTGCCGTGTTTCTAACACATGTTCTCATGTGTTGTGGTGGCTACAGAATGATTGACATGGTGGTAAACTGATGGGTTTGGACAATTACGTAAAAATTGATAAAGCAATGAAGCATATCAAAATGTGATCTTTTTGGTTAAATTTTGCTTTTGTAGTCATGTGTTTCAAATGACTCAGTATGCGCAAAGTTGGCTTAGAGAGGGCTTGTAGAGGCTGTTTTAAGTCTAGGCTGCTTTCTGTATGACCCATGAAGTCAGATCGAAACTCTCTAATCTGAAATAGTGTTAAGAGGGATGTCTGCTTTTCATAGTTTATACTGAAGATATGTAAACCACAGATCATTTTATATATAACATTAAATAGATCTGTTGGTACTCTTCTATGAATATTTACAGGGCAAAAGAGCAGAGCTATGATATTCTTATCTCCTCATGGCAGAGCAGTACTGAAATAGTAGTGTTCCTAGGATATCCATTGCTAGAGGTCCATATAAAAAAAATAAAAATCTGTCAGGAATGGCACTGGTATGAATCTGCTTTGAGTAGGGAGACACGAGATGAGTTCTTAAGGCTCTTTTAATTCCAGGCACTATAGATGAAATTTTGTAAACTTTTTAACCTTGCCCTTGAGAAGTGTTTTACCTGAACATCAGTATGCTTTCAGACACTGTTTATGTATCAACACTGTTTGATTAACTAATTTATCTGTTAAAATACTTGCCAAAATTATCCCAGGTTCTTCCTCTGTGTAATTTTTTTAAGGAAGAGATACATGCTCGCTAAGATTTCCAGCTGGCTACTGTAGACATACCTAGAAAAAACTGTGCCTGTTTCAGACTAGGCATAAGATTGGACATCACAGCATTTCTGTGGCATTTATGCTTGTCGCCTGGTTTCAGTATAGCTCATAATCAGTTCTTCCCCTAATGACAGACAATATTTCAATTTTCCTCCAAGATGGCTAGGGTAGAAAAGAACCTTCTCTCTTAGCCCTGTCTCTTATACATTTGGACTTTGACAGGCAATATCTGATAGTAATTTTGCTGGACTTAAAGATAGCAATATGATTGATGGCTAAAAAGACACAAGAAAAATAAGGATTTCTATTACTGACCTTCCAGCGACTTTCTTGAAAGAGAGAGTAATAAGTCAAGCTGCATGTGTACAGTATGTACTAAACTTACACTCTGTAGTACCTTTGAGTGAATATTTCTAGGCAATTATGTGACAGGGAAATTATTTTACAGTTTTGCTTTTGATGGGAAGGTTGCTATTTTTAGTTTTCTTATTATTGCTAAAATGATTGTGAAACATTTCTGTTTAACATTTCCACAGATTGGTGTTTTTCGAACAGGTTTCACAGAGACGCAGAACAGGCTCTTTCTCTGTTCTGCCTTTTCCCCTCATTTTGGTTGTTGTCCTACTCCATAAATGCTTTTGCTGACCAGATCTTATATAACCATCTTTGAACCTAGTTTTTTGAGGCTAGTGAAGGAGAATCCTAGAATCATGCCAGCATCGTTTGTCTGGTTTGCCACTGTTCAAGTGAGCCCAGTGTATCTTGCTGAATGCAGTATTCCCTGGGAAAGAGAAGTCTTGAAGTCTCTCTTAGGACTGGACAAGCTTTTTAGTGTAAACTGAGAGTGTGGCTGTACTAAAATACAGAATTTAAGAAACCAGTTGTTATGCTTTGTGAAGATGCAGAATATTAGAGCATAGCTCTAATATTCCGTGACCACGCAGTCACACTGCTTTATCGAAGTTCTGTCTTCTGCTGACCTGGTTGTCATGGTTGTCATGGTGGTCATGTTACCTCCCGGGATGCTTCACACAGGTCCTAGATCTGTGATCTGAATTTTTGGACTTCTTATACATGGTTTATATCTTTTATGGTTTAGGGTGAGAGTTTCTCCTTATATCCTGTTTTCTCAACTATGAATGTAAAAATTAGCAGCCTTAGTGTTTTGGCCTTACCTTTACTAAAATCTTTCCTTTTTGGTTTTTTAGATTTTTTTTTGAATGAAAATACTCCTCAGGTTATGAAAACTGTAGTATATAGTTAATAATTTATAACATACACATTATATACCACTTTTTATGAAAAAGGTGAAACAATAAATGTACTTACTACCTCTTGACAGAAGCTATTTAATGCCAAATAGTCTAGGAGTGCAGTGTATTTGGAGTACATAAACGTGGCTTAGTGACTAGGGTAAAAGAATAGGGCTATCATGGTTTTCTGTGGGCATCCATGAAATAAAATAGTGGAAAATAAAAAGAACATTCTGCCAAGGTAGTGTTCCTGAAGCACTTACGTTTTCTTCACAAAAGTTGCTGTCTTAACTGCCACTGTAAGAGGATTTGAGATATATCTCTGCTAAAGTTCTCTCAAAGGTTCATCTTAGCATCTGGACTGCCCAGCATGTGCTGACTGAAGAGTTTAACATCAGTTGTTAACCATAACCACTTTTCCTCTAAACCGTTATCTGAAGTGATGAATTTGTTGTCATTTATTTAATAATGACAAGAATCTTCCTTCATCCCCATCCCTTCTCTTAGGACCAATTGGTTGATGTGTGGTTGAGGGGGTGATCCTGATGACACTGGGCATAAGCTCTTCTAGGGTCATACCCAGAAAGGAAAGGAGGGTCAGGAATAAACAGGAAAAAAAATCTAACTTTGCCACAATCTGTTGGTGTAAGTTGCACAATACTCTCAGGGAAACAATAGGAAAGAGAGTCACGGGGTGAGACTGGCATAATTGAATAGTCTGATAAATTTGGAAGCTAGAAGAAGTGAGTGAGAGATGAGAGTAACAGGTGTTGTGAAGAGGATGAGTGACTATCTTCATCCAAGAATCACGATTTTGAAACTCACCAGGAAACTCTTAGCTCAGGAATAAGAGATCAATCTCTGAGTTCACTCATGTCTTTATGGAGAAGTTAAGCTTAAAAAGAAATAATCTGTTTGTTTCTCAGTGTTGACTTCTTTTTTGCACTTAGTTTAGATAAATTTAATTTCAAAACATGAACTTAAATGTCCATTAGTGCAGCTATAATAAGCATTAATCTATTTATTCCTTAAGCAGCATGTTTCCTAGAGCTATTTCTCTTGTTCTTTACTCCACACTTTTTAATGTAAACCACATCATCAGTAAAAATAATCAAAATTCTGTTAGAAACTAATGATGTATATGCAACTTTAAGCTAGTGTTCCTCTTTGCTAACGTTACCTCCAAGATTTTTAAATGCAGTCAGTCCAATACGCTTCTGGCTCCATTAATTACATTTAGAAATCTTTACAAAGTATTAAGACGTAGAACTCCTCTTAATGATACTCTGCTGATTCAGAAACAAGACCTATAAAATGGAGTAGCCTTCTGTCTTCAGATGCATTGGACTTTGTCCACTGCCTACTCTAAATGCTTTCCCATTTTCATTTCATATCTGCTCAGTTCCTCAGCTGGCACAGTGGGTGCCTCAAGTGATCTTGTTTTTCGTGCTTGAATATGTGCTGGAACCAGAGTTGAAAACAGAGCTGATAAAATGTGGACAAAAATGACATGAAGCAGACTGGAGGGTGGGATAGATAGTTTTGAAATCTGTTACATGAACTCACTCACTTTTTTCCTGAGAACATGAAGGGAATAGAGTGTAATTCTTCCAACAGAGAGTGTAAAAAATGAAGGTCTGCAAGATGTGCTGCACATTGCAAGGAAACAAACTATTTTGAGCAGTGAGGCAGTTTTTACATGTTATTACAGCAGAGATAAAAATTTATATTAACATGTATGTAATGGTTAATTTCTGTACTAATGTGTGTAATTTTATTTGTTTGCTATATGCTTGCATTTCTTCCACTTTGATGGAAATTAAAGGAACATGTGCAATGAAGGAGAAAAACTAGTCTATGAAGCTATATCATACTGTATCCTAATAAATTGAACTTTGTGGAATCTACCTTGCTGATTTTAACTATTTAACGAAAAGAGAATCAGTATCTTCTCTCTAGGCAGATGGTTAACTCCTTTTGGATTTAAACACCTGCATTAGGAGAAGAATAGATAACTTGTTTCTGGAAGGTTCACACCCACAAGGTTGCACTTTGTTTCTGCAGTCTGGATAATGAAGAAAAAAGTGCTGTTCTGAAAAAAAAAAGTGAGAGCAAAAGCTAAAGCTAGGCATTTTCTGTATTTGGTTTTTAAAGTACCTTTCAAATGCTTGTGTCTGTATTGCATTTTACATGTAATGCTATTATTTCAGAATCCTTCCTGTACTCCCCCTCCCCCCCCCCCCCCCATACACTCTTTCCCATGCAGGGAGAGGTCTTTTATGATTGAAAAATGGGACAAAATTTTAGCTGGTTTATTTATAAACACCTAAAAAAAAAAAAATCTGTAATTTGTATGCAAAGTGCTGGAACATCCTGAACCAAAGTGATGTCACTGTATAAGTCCTTCCAAAGTGACTTAAGGTGGATAGAAGACAAGGAAGTTCTAAAGGAGAGAGAAAAGAGTGAGGAGAATAACTGTAACACTAAAGCTTTTTCTTCAGCACTAGTTATTTTCAATTGCTGATGGTCAGTAGAAATGTTTTCTCAAGCAAAATGCCTTTGCTTGTTGATTTTATGCAGACAGCTTTCTGTCTTGTAAATCAACAATGTAGCAGCTTCCTTTTGTTTTGGATATTTTTTGATTTCTTTTCCTTAAAGGCAATTACTTCTTCATTCATGTCTTTCATAGCCACAGGAATTGGTTCAAATTGTCTGGTTTTCTCTCATGTGTGTTCATACCTTACTTCATCAAGTCAGTATGCTTCTCTGTGTTGGGAGAGACTGCAAGTTGCTGGTATTTTATAAGGTTGATTTTTATGTCATTAAAATGTGATGAGTTTATTATGTTTTTCTTCATTTTAATTTCATTTGAGAAAAAAAGAAGTTGTTTATGCTCTGTCTTCTGAAAACCAATTTAATACTAACTTCTTTTATTGTGCAGAGCTGGTTATTTGCCTCAGAATATTCCTTTGGAGATTATGAGGTACCTTTCAGAGGAAAAGGATTTTCTGCCTTGGCATGCTGCCAGCCGAGCTCTTTATCCTCTAGATAAATTGCTGGACCGTACAGAAAACTACAATATCTTCAATGTAAGAGATAGAGTCTTCCTTTCTTTCTTCCTCTAGTTCTTCCTGTCTTTTTTCCACTTTCTCTGTCTGTCTGTCCTTCCTGCCTTTCTTCCTTTTGCCTCTTACTCTCATATTATTGGCAAGATTTGAACTGTTCCCCAGGCAGATACTGTTAATGATCTAGGGATCTTAACTTTCTTCCTAATTACTCTTTATTTAAACATAGCGATTATCAAGCTTTGGTTCACTTGCAATTGAACAGTGATAACTATTGTTTGAGGCATATATGACTAGAAGAAGGAAAGGTAATTATCCCTCATGTAAAATGTTATGACAAATAAAGTATTTCACTTAGAAGAGTCAAAGTATTCTATTGCCAGATTTTCTCTTTCGAGGAGCCCCATGGTGATATTTAGGTGGATGCCCAAGATCAGCAAGAACAGCAAGTATAGGCACAACTTAACAGAATACATGCAACTGAAGCAAAGATTTGTAGTCATTATTTCATCCCAAAATCCATGGTGAATTCAATGCAGTTACCTTAATTAACAAGAATTAGATCACCGTTGAGTCAAAAGCCCATTCATAATTGTGTCCAAAGGGACAGCAGTAACAGCTCACAGTAGATAATTAAGATAGACATGGCAAATATTTTAACATTTAGCTGTAGCTACACTGAAGCATGGTTTATGAAGTACACAGATTTGACTGCAGCCAGTGACAATTATGAACTCTTGGGGTTTTTATTCACTATGAATTTTATGTAGTCTACATATTTTCAACAGCCAGCATACGGTAGCTTTATGTAATGTTGTAAAGCCTTCAAATGAAGGAGCTTTTTAAAGCCTGAAATGCCTAAGGATGCTTTTTGCTTCTTAAATGCATATTTGTTTGTGTGTATGTGACCATAGACACCAAGCTTAGAGAGAAGAAAGTTAGAAGTGACTGTATGTATATATGTAGATGTTAATACAAATGTAGATATATAGATAAACACACACAGACACACACACCCCATACATATACACAGAGTTACCTGATGACATGGAAGATTATTTTTGTAAAACATATACTAAGGCTTACATATAAATCAGAGCCTTAATGTAAAATGCAGTTGAAATAATTTGCATATTTAGTCTGCTGTTAACTGTAAAGAAAAGTTCTTGGGAGTCTGCCATTGCTATTTCACTTTTAAACATGGTTGTATAAAGAAAACACAATTTTAATAAATAAAACCAGTAAAATTCACAGCTGAGTTATGTTTTATCACTACTGATGGGAGTTTTGAAAGCTGAGGTGATAGCAGAGAAAATAAAAAGTCTTTTTAGTCATAGAATAACATATCTGCTAGAGAAAGCTGCAGTATGAATCTTCTTTTGTGTTGACATATATACATGCCTATGCATCTGTAATAATAAAATAGATGCTCTCCTATGCAGTTCTGTGTATCTTAGTTCTCTTTTTCAAATTGGTGAATTCTACTGGAAAAAGATTATGCTGAATGCACAGGCAATGGTTTTCTTCAAAACTGGTCAGAATATGTAAATATATCGTCTGTGTAAAAAGTAGAAGTTGCTAAAATATATCTTGTGCTTGTTTTGTTCCTTAAGCACACCAGGAGCTTAAACTTAAAACATAGTGTCATTAAGTGTACAGAGCTTATTTGCAGCCACATTGTTACATATTCTGAAGTCAATTGACTGTACCCACATGATGTTTTGACCACGCTTATGGATATTAAAACAGTGTTCTTTTAAAAGTGAACATGTAAGGTGTAGTCAAGATTGGCCACAAAGTAGAAATTAAGCTATTGACACCCTTGTAATTTTTCAGCTGTGCATTGTGAGTTCAAAGTAGCATGTGATAAACTTTTGAAATTCATGGATTTTATTACAATAAATTGTCTTATACTAGGCATCTAATCAAGTAGCTCATCTAGAGACTGCTTCTTACTATAGCAGTGAAGGAAGATTGTAAGTGGACAAGTAGCTTTGCTAAGTCTTTGGAGTTGGACATTATTTGAGGGTACAAAGAGAGACCAAACCTCATTGTTAGCAGTATTTCGGTTTCAAGTAAAATAAATTATTTTTAATGTTAAATATACTTTTCTTTTTCTCCTCAGGAGTATATTTTAAGACAAGTGGCATCAATGTATCTGAAGCTTGGATGGCCAACAAACAATTTAAACAAATCACTTGTTCAATCATCATACCAACATGAGTACTGTTATATTTACTTTTTTATTGATTATTTGAGAAATATAATTATAGAAATGCACCCTCCTAAAAATTAGTAATGTTTAGCATAAATCAGTCGTAATTCCTTAGCTCTGTCACCCCTCTGTTTTTTTCCATTCTGGCTTGCAGGGAAAGTAGAAACATGCTGTAAGATGAATTCTTCTTTCTTAAGTTGGGAGAACATGATTTCCTAAGCCCCAGCTTAATATCTGATTACTGTGGATTTCTAAGAACTTGTACTCATGTGTCCACAGAGGTTGGGAAGAGTGCCTAAGTGTAAATGGGGGCTGGTTTTGATCCATGACCTTTCTTTAGTTGTTGCAGGCATTAAACTGACACTGAGATTTGTAAAGCCAGATTGTCTTTGATATGTTGCCCAACTACTGGTTGCTGTCACTTGTTATAAGAAGTATTTTTTTGTAAACATTCAGACACATTTGTTAAAGCAGCCTTATTGCTTTCTTTAATTTGGCCAGAGAGCTGCGTCGGGAAGTCATCATGTTGGCCTGCAGCTTTGGGAACAAACACTGTCACCAGCAGGCTGCAACGTTAATCTCAGACTGGATTTCTAGCAATAGGAACCGGTAAGTGGAGCTGAAATGTGAATCTCACATCTCTCCTACTGAAAGGCAGTACAGCTCTTCCTTTCCTGCCTGCCTTCTCTGCTGTGCCCTCTTTTGCAAAGTTTTTTTACAGGAGGAAGCAGAGGTTGCTGGCTGTCATTTAAAAATGTCTGTGGGGTTTCAGAATTATTTGACTTTGCATATATGAGTGGGTGGAGGGGATTCTGCCCACTCCTGGTAAATTACTGTTGGATAATTCTATGCTAGAAGATGAGAAGGCAAGTTTTAAGAATGGATTTCAAGGAAGAAAGATGAGTGAACACCATGTTGTCAGACAAACATGAAACCTGTGTTGAGGTAAGAGAGCAGAAGGTGCTAAACATTTAAAGAAGTGATGGGAGTTAGAGACAGAAGGACTGAGAAGTAAGGAAGGAGATGTTTCAGAGGGACATGTTACAAGATGTTTAAGGGTGATGACTTGAAAACTAATGTGATTCAGGAATACATGGAAAAGCTCATGTAAGGTTTCAGAGGACAGATAATATTAGAGCTGATGCCTTGAGCATAAGCAGCACTGTAGTGGTTTGACAACAAATATGTAAGTTAGGCTGCCAAGACACAGGTTTATTCAGCTGAGGCAAAGGAACATGGACCATGGATTGTGTATGAAGTTTATCTTTTAAAGGCAAGCATCTAAGAAATATGAAATAAGTGAAATTTCAAATATTTAAGTAAGTAGTGATCTATGGACAATGAGATCAGTGCAGAGTATAGGTTAAGATCACAACTTCTTTAGCAAGAATAGTGGATTTTCTGATTATGTGAAATATTTACACTGTATACATTTATACATGACATAATATTTTGGTTTTAAAGAGAATATTTTACTTTCAAATACAAAAGAAAAAGATAAGAGAAAAAGTCTCCCATTTTTAGTCACAGTCTTGTATTAGCTTGGCAAAAGAATCAGATCTCTCTAGCCATACGAGCAAGCAGGATTTTTCAGAGATTTCTTGGACTTATCAGTGTTTGTTTGCAATTAATTTATCTCTGTCTGTCTTTGTAATCTTTAAAAATCCTTTATGGGCATACTCAGTAACATAAGTGTCCAAGAATCTTTTAAAACGAGCCAGGAAAGGAAATTACTTTCCTATATGACTTTGAAACTTCTGGAAAAATAGTAGCTTGAAACTGTTACTGGATGCCTTTAAGTAAGATGTGTGTGAGGTGGAGGGTTTTCTTGTGTAAGGTGACACCAGATATATGTACTATGAAATATATACCCCAGGGTTTTATATGAATTCTTATCATAAGCAGCAACAATCAGTATGAAGCTATTTAAAGAGGCAATTATAGAGAAAGAATCATTGGAAACAGTCTGCAAAAGTAATTTACTTAGATATTCATTTGCAAAATTAGTTAATCAAACCTAGCATTACCTATTAGCATGCACAGCAGTAGATTATTCACTGTTAAAAAAGCTGTCACCCTGCAAAGCTACCTGCCTGTGTCTTTCCAATAGGATTAAGAAAGGAGGCATCAGAAAAGAAAAACATAACAAAACACTAGCTTATTGCTTTACTAACAGTAGCAAGAGAGAAAAGGAATAAATTTAAGGAGCTGTCTGAAGATTCATCTTAGCCTTTCAATGGGGCCATTTTTGGTAGCAGAAGATTGTGGTTGCCAGCATATGATGAGTATTATGATAAAAGCACCACAGCAGGGCAGAGGAGAATAGCTACTAAGTTAAAGCAATGTGTTTCTCAAAGGAACTGCACAGTTTTGAAAAATGGCTGCAACAAATAATGTAATTACAGAATAGAGATTGACAGTCAGCTGATAAATAGGGGCACAACTGGCAAAGAAGATAGAGACACACTTTTATTTATTTTTTAAGATTGTAGGATTTGTTCTGTCCTGTGCTCCAGAATTTCCCAGTTTTTTCAGAACAGTCTCACATCCTGAATGTAACTAATATATTATAACTAATACATAGAGCAAAACTTATTTTACTATCTACTTACATATTAACAACATTACAAAGACCACTAGTAATAGCAGCTCAGTAAACATAAAATCAGCATGTGTTTCACACAATGAACAACATTCACAGGGTATGTCAGTGTTCTCTCGGGAATGTTCAGATCCTGTTGAATCAGAGCTATCCCACAGTTAAGCTAATTCAGACTGAAACCTGAAAGTAAAGCAAGGGCTCTTTTTCCTGCTTTTTTACTAAGAAATGATGATTCCACAATCAGAATTTAATTAGCATGGCGTTTGAGTCATGCTTCTGCCTCTTTTAGCACTTTAGAGGCAATAACTAGCTCAAGTGCAAAGGGCAAGAAGACAAGTACAAAATGTATGCATAGAGCATATCTAAAAGGTACTGATTTGTATTCTTTGTCATCAATCAAGTGTTTTGCTCAGTTTGATGCCCTGAACAGCTGCTTGTGAATTTGTTGCAAACAGCCTCCTCAGAACCTGTAAGATTCCCTCAGGTCTTGTTTCCTCACAAAGAAGGGGAAACTCACGCTCCTCTTTCTCCAGACTTCTCTGACAACTGGTGAGAAAAGTTGGTGACTGATACAGAAACTCTGTGTATCCTTGCCTATTCCATTCCTTATCAGCAATTACTGTAAATGTTCTTGGGTTTGTCATTCCCTTTTCTGAAACAAGACCATGTAATTGACTGATGGTTGCAGAAAGCCTGGTTTTGGTGGGTTTGAATAGCCAGAGCACAAAAATAGAGTTCCAGAGAGCTCAGAGATATTTTATATATAGATATAATTTGAGTGTCACTGTGACAGTAAAAATAAAGGTTAATTTACAACATTACTACCCATCCTCCCACCCAGAAACTTTATTCTGGAAGATGACAAAAATTTTTCAAAGCAGTAGAGACAATGGAATTAGGTTTGTGTCTCAAGATTTTAATCAAGTGAAAATTAAGTCAGTATCAAATTAAAATATGATATTAAATACCGCATAAATGCACAGTCAGTAAATCATATCAGGGAGGTTTTTGATTCCCTGGCAGTTACTGCAGTTAAAGCTGAAATAACTATAACAGAGAATGTGCTTTTAATAATACTGAAGAAATCCTAACATTCATCACTTTTTTAGCCACATTAATAATCTATGACTTTTTAGATGTCCTTTTGAAATGTTTTATTTGTAATATTTGGTTTTGGATGAAGTGTCAGGTAGTACAGTAACATCTAACTGTGTTTTACTGGCATATACTTACAATTGCTGTGCTTTTTAGTAATTACATTCAATCTGGTAGGTCCAGAAATGAATTGCCATCTACTCTTCACAATAAGAAAGTGAAGTAATCGTGATATCAGATACTGTTAGCATTTTGTAATTATATACTCTTTACTGTGCAAGTAATTTGCCACTGTTCACCAAGTAAAATAATGGTCATTCTTGGCAGAAGACCAGAGGTGTTCTTGTATTTTCAGTACTGTTAGAAAAAGCCCTTAGATTTCCAACTATAGTGCTGCAGATTTTCTTCTGGAATTAGTGAAAAATCCCAATTTATATGTGATCTACAACACTAGCCTCTATGCATGAAAGTGGAAGTCAGCTGAGAGGCTGTGAAGACTGGAATTTTTAAAGTGATTTAGGTATTGCTTCATTTTTGGATGCTTGGCTCATAGAGCAGAATCAGGTGCTCAGAGTTATGCTTCCTACAGGGGGATTTAGGAGCCTCTGAAATGCAGCTGGCAGCAGCCACTGTGCTGTGAAGAGCCTCTTAACATGAGATTCTGAAGTGTGAGTGGTGCCTCTTAGGGTCCAGCACTACAGGTAATAGGAAGGATACCTATATCAAATGAATACATAAATGGCAATCGTAGAGTATGGGGTCCTTGCAAAAGATGCCTTTCAATGTTGTCACTAAAGCAGAAAATGACTGCTCCTTTTCTTTTCCAGCACAACTGCTCTTCAACACCATTTCAAGCAGTAGTGCTGAGATTCCAGTGGTTTGCTGTGCTTTGGTTTATACCTCAGCCCTGTATCTGCCAATGCAGAAAGCGAGCCTGATGAGCTGTCTGCGAGGTGTTTGGGACAGTATTAAGATACTGCAATACACTTTCCTCTTCTGGCTTCAGCTCAGCCTCTGGAATTTATTTCATTAGCAGGAGAAATGATACAGCTCTCTCTAAAGATGAGAGAGCATACATCTGAAGGAAAAGGAGCTTCAGTACCTGAAATGCCAGAAATACTTAGTGTGTGAGGGGCTTTAGGTGGTATTGCTCATGATCACTTTTTCAGGGCAAAATACAATGGAAAAAAAAAGAAGTCTGAGCAAATTTGTTTGTACAAGGAGCAAGGCAAACACATAGCATCAGAAGCAGAAGAAATTGTAAGGAGACATCTTGTTTTGGTGGTTTAGGAATTGATATATTTTAATCCCTGCAGTTGTTAAAAAATAGTCATTATTTCTTTCTACTGAAGATCTGGGGCTAGACCTCAAAGTAGATCTTGCAGTGTTGTAATCAATGAATTTAAATAATTTTACTCTTTTTTTTTAAACGACATTGCTTGAAGGGCTGTATTTACTTCTGACTTGATGGTGATCTTAAAACAATCATTTTCACTCTCTTAAATTGGCATATATGCTGCTCCTGTACTGGAACAATGGAAACCCTTGAAACTTCCATGCTGATGTTCAGAAGAATACAGAGTAGAAAGCATATAACCATGTTGAAATTTCCCTTGTAGTTTGAGAATGTAAAGTTACTGGGATTCAGTCAAGAGCAGAATGTTGTACAAGAGAAGCTACTGTTGGCTGAAAATAAAGATGTTTGCTTCTACCTTCATTTAACTGAGCTCATCCCTGTGGAGCTTTCATGTGTGAAGAAATACATTATTCACACTCCTTAGATATAACAGCATTGTGGTTCAGCCTAAAAAATTAACAAAATTACCATTCAATGCCTGCCTGAGCTTAATAATCAGCCTTGTTAACCCCTTTAACTTTCACTGCATCTATTCTGAAAGAAAAACATGTTTCT